TCTGTTTTCATTGTATGCATGTATGTATGTATGTATGTATGTATGTATGTTTGTTTGTTTGTTTGTTTGTTTGTTTGTGTGTATGTATGTATGTATGTATGTATGTATGTATGTATGTATGCATGTATGTATGTATGTATGTATGTATGTATGTATGTTTGTTTGTTTGTTTGTGTGTATGTATGTATGTATGTATATATGTATGTAATGTATGTTTGTTTGTATGTATGTGTGTATGTATGTGTTCGAATGCCCAAACCTATTTCCTATGTATTAACAAGTGAGGTCTTCATTAATTTTTCATGTAGTTCCTAATGTATATTGCCATGTTGGAGGGAAAGATGAACAGAGTGAAAGAAAGTACAAGTGAATGAATGAATAAAGAAACAAGTGAATGAGTGAGTGAGTGAGTGAGTAAGTGGAAGCATGAATAGACGATGAATGAATGAATGAATGAATGAATGAATGAATGAATGAATGAATGAATGAATGAATGAATGAATGAATGAATGAATGAATGAATGAACGAACGAATGAATAAAAGGATGGATGAATCAACCATCCATCCATCCATCCATCCATTCATTCATTAACAATACACTCAACATGAAACATCAAATTTGGCAGCCAACCTAACTTCGCATAATGTTCAGCATTTATCAAAATTTTCTCCCAAAAATACCAAAATACGCAAAATTATTGATACAAACAACATACAAACAACATAAAAACAGCATACAAACAACATACAAACAGCATACAAACAACATACAAACAATATACAAACAATATACAAACAAAATACAAGCAACATACATGCAAAATACAAAATAACATACAAAAAGATACCAGGGTACAAACAAAACTAAGCAATGTGGCACATAAACATCACAAAAATATATCCTCCCTTCAAAAAGGTATGCCTTGATATATAAGGCAGAACCTCAAAACAAAAATATTAAGCATAATACAAATTTTTTGCACCAAGTTCCTCAATACAGAACATACATATACATACAAACATACAAATATACATACATACAAATATACACACACATACATACAAACCTGCATACATAAAATAAACGACCCGGAATGCTATTCTTGCGACATTCATTTATAATTTAAAATGCTTCACACTTACACATATATACGTACGTACATACAAATAAACATACATACATACTTACATACATACATACATACATACATACATACATACATACATACATACATACATACATACATACATACATACATACATACATACATACATACATACATACATACATAAATACATACATACATACATACATACCAACATACATACCCACATACATACATACAATATTCATAATGTTGAAAAAATTATCCTGCACTTTTGACATGCCTACCGTTTTCCTAGCCAAGCCAACAGCGTAAAAAAAAGCTAAAATACATACATACATACATACATACAAAAACACATACATACATACGTGCATACACTCATGCATACATACATACACATATTTTTACTATATTCTATAAATTATTAATTATGGTCTATTATCAACATATATATATATATATATATATTTTTACAATATTCTACCGAATGTTTGGCGTTAATATGTTTGTAGTTCGTTTTTTCGATTTATCTCACTAAAGTTTTTTGGTGAACGTTTAGTTTATTAAAATTCAAAATTTATAGAATATTGTAAAAATTATGGTCTATTACCAACACATACACATATATATACACACATACATTTATACAGACAAACAAACATACATCCATCTTTCCATACATACGTTAATTTAATACATACATTTACAAGTTTATCTATAAACGCTTTTCGATTTGCTATGTATATGGGTGAATGTCTAATTGTATGTATCTGTGTGTGTGTGTTTTTGTGCGTGTGTATGTTTGATTGTATGTATGTTTGCGAATTTGTATCTTTGTATGCATATAACTTGAATTTGTAGTGAAACTTTTCATGTATTTTTTTAGAACTTATCTACAAGTCGGTATGTCTTTTGCATGTACGTAGTTAAGTACATAAAAAACAAAGTATACAATAAATACCGACCGGTAAAACTCGAAACCGATCCGCCGATTAACCGTATCTTCGGTTTTTAAACACGGACGAGTCGGAAAAACACGTGTTGACGGCCATTTAATAAACACGCACATACACATCAACACACACGCTCATTAAAGTTGTTGAACCGTAAAATCGGATCTTATAAGTATATTTATTAATTATATTTAAGGGCAGTATTATTATTACTATTTGTAATTTATAATTATTATTATTGTTGTTATCATTGTTATTGTTGTTGTTATTGCTGTAACGTTTTTAATATTGTTGTAATTATACTTCATTATTCTACTACTACAACTACTACTAAAATACTACTTCTACTACTACTACTACTACTACTACAACTACTGCTACTACTACAACTACTGCTACTACAACTACACTACTACTACTACAACTACTGCTACTAC